GTGGGTGTCGTTGTGGGGTGGGTGGGTGTCCCTGTGGGATGAGTGGATGGGATGGGTGCTGGTGAGTAGGGGGGACCGTGGTGTGGGGGTGCCCCCAGTCTCAGCCTGTCCTTCCCCCAGGCCTACCTCCACTCCATGAACATCATCCACCGTGACCTCAACTCCCACAACTGCCTCGTGCGGGAGGTGAGTCCCACCCCGGCCGTGTCCCTGCCCTGGCCCAGGGGGGGTCTCAGCCCCCTGTGTGGCTCCCCTGTGCCTCACCCTCTCTCCACCCCCCCAGAACAAGAGTGTGGTGGTGGCTGACTTTGGGCTGGCGAGGCTGATGGTGGACGAGAAGAACCAGCCCGAACATCTCAAGAACCTGAAGAAACCGGACCGCAAGAAGCGATACACGGTGGTGGGGAACCCCTACTGGATGGCCCCCGAGATGATCAATGGTGAGGGGCAGCGTGGCCAGCCAGGGCTCTGTCCCCAGGCAGGGACTATTGGTGGGGCAGGGACGGGCTGTGTGTGGTGTGGCCTGACCTGTGTGTCCCCACAGGGAGGAGCTACGATGAGAAGGTGGACATCTTCTCCTTTGGCATCGTCCTGTGTGAGGCAAGGACTCCTGGGGCTGGGGTCTTCCACTGGGGCTGTGGTCCTCAGTGTGTTTGTGTTAACCTGCCCCCGTGGTTGGGGTGTCCCCTTTGGGGTTGGGGTGTTTAGAGTCTCCCCTTTGGGATTGGAGCGTACTTGCTGGGGCTTGGGGTGCTCACTGGGTTTGGGTTCTCTCCCCCTGGGATTGGGGTGTCCCTCTGGGAATTGAGATCCTCAGTGTGCTTGGGGTTGGGGTCCTCATTGTGTTTGGGGTCCCCCTTGGGGTCAGAGTCTTTGTTATGTTTAGGGTTATGTTTAGGGTGCCCCCCATCCAGGATTGGGATTTCCCTCTTGGAGTTGGGGTCCTCATTATGCTTGGGTTCCCCCTCTTGGGCTTGGAGTCCTGCCTTGGGCTTGGGGTCTCCCTCTTGGGGTCTCCCTGTTGTGTTTGGCATCACCCTTGGGGCTTGAACATATTACCTTTAGGGCTTGGGATCTCCTCTTTAGGGGTGGGGTCCTCATTGTGCTTGGGTTCCTCCTCTTGGGCATGGAGCCCTCCCTTGGGGTTGGAGCCTCCCCACTTGGGTTTGGGGTCTCCCTGTTAGGGTCTCCTCCTCTGGGTTGGGGTCCTCATTGTGTTTGGGGTCCTCCCTTGGCCGTGGGTCCTCATTGTGTTTGGGGTCTTCCTTTGGGCCTTGGAGGGTCCCCTTTGGGCTTGGGGTCTCCCCTTGGGGCTGAGCCCCCTCCTCCCTCCCTTTGCCCCCAGATCATCGGCCGGGTGAGCGCCGACCCCGATTACCTGCCCCGCACCACCGACTTCGGCCTCAACGTCAGGGGCTTCCTGGAGCGCTACTGCCCCCCCGCCTGCCCCCCCAGCTTCTTCCCCATCGCCGTCACCTGCTGCGACCTGGACCCCGAGAAGCGGTGAGGGGCCGCAGACCCCCCTGGGGACCCCGCGGGCGGGGCACGGGGTGGGGACGGGGCGGGTGGAGCTGCCACGTTGTCCCCCCTTGTCGCCCAGGCCGTCCTTCGCCAAGCTGGAGCAGTGGCTGGAGACCCTCCGCATGCACCTGGAGATCCACCTGCCGCTGAGCTCCCAACTGGAGCAGCTGGACCGAGCCTTCGGGGAGACGCACCGGCGGGGGGAGGGCGGGGTCCCTGCGCCCCCCCGATAGACCCCCACCCACCCCCCCCCCGAGCGGCGGGCGAGGGGGGTGCCGCCCCCCCCCGCAGCTCCCGCCGCCAGCACCTCCTGGGGCTGCCCCCACCCCTCCCCCGGGGCTGGACCCCCGGGGCTCCCCGGATGCATCCCCCCCCTCCCGTCCCCTCACGGGCCGCCCGCCCCGCTGCCCCCACCGCCCCGGGGAGCCGGCTCTCCCCGGGGCCGCATGGCCCTGGGCACCCCCCCACGCCGTAGCTCTGCCCCCGGGGACCGTCCGGGTGTCCCCGTGTCCCCCCGCCCCGGCTCACCTCCCCTTTGCACACCGGGGGCTGCCCCCGCACGACCCCCCCGGACAGAGCCGCGGCCTCGCGGCGGTGCCTTGGCTTTCCGTGAACTTGCACTGCGACATAGGAGGGACCCCCGGCTCCCTCGGGAGGGGGGTCCACGGCCCCCCCAAAGCCCCCCCCAGGGCCTCCCTCCCCAGGGCACCCTCGTAGCAACGCCCTCGGCCGGCCTCTCACGCTCCTCCCGCTGGCACCCCAGTCCCGGGGGGCTGCCGAGCGAGGGGTCCGCGTGGGGGGACACTCCCGTGGCGTGGGGACAGGCACGTAGCGGTCCCCGCCGCCCCCACGCCCCCCTGCCCCGCGTGCACGCCCGGGGGCAGCGCCGGGTGGGATACCCGGGTGGGATGCAGGGCTCGTCTGGGTCCCCTTGGCCCGCGGGGGCTCGGGGCGGGGCTCGGGGACTGCGCCACGCGGTGCTTTTCATGCTCTTTATTCAGGTTCATTTTTCTGTAAGATATTTAAAGAGAAGAGTTTGTATTATTTTTTCATACGACGTAGCGTTTGCCATTTGTCACTGCCTCGGTTCTGCTTTCCCGAAGGGATCAAACTGTGAAGCCTCTCCGCGCACTTTTGCCCGGGAAGTCCAAGGCGACGCCCCCTCCGGAGGCGGGGAGGGAGCTCAAACTGTGATGTACCCCGAGCCGTGAGTCAATAAATCCTTCCCCGCTCGCTGCCCAGCCTGCTTGGCAATCGCTCGCCTCCCCCGGGGGGGCTGGGAGCTCGTGGGGACACTGAGGCAGGAGGGGACGGTCCCCCCTGCTCAGGGGTGTGGTGGTTCTGGGCTTGGTCGCACCCCCGGCTCGGTCACCCCCGTGGTGGCAGCCCTGTCGCCCTTCCTGCTGTCCCCACCCCATCGTGGTTCCTGCCAGGCTCCCCCAGCCCTGTGTCCCCTCCCTGGCCCGGTGGCCCTGCCACGACATGGCATGACATGTCACCACTGTCCCCCCAGGGCGGTGACAGGCGGGTGATGGAGCTGTTGTGACCGTTGTTGCCGTGGAGCAGCTTTGCCTTTGCTGTCCCCTGGGACCAAGGTGGCCCATGCAGTGGTGGCCCGTGGCCCTGCCATGCTGTCCTCTGTCCTTGCCACCTTCCTAAACCAAATTAAGGTCCCCAGGGTGGGGGATCTCCATCCTTGGGGGGTGTTGAGCTTTGGAAGCTGGAGAAGACTTGGAACTCAAGGAGCTCATGGGGGAGTGACAGGGAAGGGACTGGGAGATGTCCCCAAGGATGTCCCCAGGGATGCTGCAGCTGGGGGAGGAGCCTGAAGGGGTTCTGGGATGCAGGCTGGAATGTCCATCAGCAGACCTCATGGTTTATTGTCCAGGGATGCTCAGCTGGAGGGAGACCAGAGGGGTTGAGGAGGTGACAGTGGCTCTGTCCCCTCCAGGGTGGCTCCTGACTGCTTGTCACCCAGTACCCAGTGAAGGACAGGGACAGATTGTCCCTGTCAGTGTCACGGGGCTGTCATGCCACCCTTGGTGACACCACACTGCCCTTGGTGACATCCCACCCTGCTTGCTCTTTGCTCTGGGAGCAGGACACTGTCACTCCCTGGGAACATTGGGGACCTGCTGTGGCTGTCACACCTGGGAAACCCCGTGGTCCCCAATCCCCTGCTGCCTGGGGGACCTCCAGCCCTGCAGTGGGAACCCCCACACCCAGGGGACCTCCAGACCTCCCCAGCCCCTCCCCCAGCTGGGTGGAGCTGTGGGGTGTGATGTGCCTGGTGGTGCTGGTGGCCCTTCAGAGGACCCTCAGTGCCAGGATGGGTGGGCCAGCAGCTGGCCATGACAGGTGGCCACTCAGTCACCCCCATGACCAGCAACTCGTCCCAGACCAAGCCACTGGCCAGGACACCCCTCACCAGGCAGGGAGGTGGCCTTGGCACAGCCCCAGTGGCCCCACACCATGACTGTCACCCCCCCAACCCTTCCCCATGGAGGTTCTTCAGCACCCTGTGTCCAAATCCAGCCACTGGCATGTGTGGCACCAGGTCCCCTGCCAGCCTCTCCCCAGGGGCCACAGCCTGGCAGGGTCCTTGCAACCCCCCACCCCAATGTGGCCTGACACCGGTGTGAGGCCCCCTCAATCCCAGCACCTCTCTGTCCCCTCAGCCACCACCTCCCAGGAGGGGACAAGGACACCCAGACCAGGTCACAGGCCACCAAGAGCTGCCACTGCACCCACTGTCGTCCCCCCCCCCACCAGCTCCTGCTCTGTGCCCACCCAGGGGTGTCCCTGGTAAGGTTCTGCCCAGGCCTGACCCCAGTTTGGGGTGGTGGCAGCTGGGGAGCCAGATGTCCCCACCAAGGTGGTGACCAAAGGCACCAGTGGCTCTGGCGAGGACAGACCAAGAGCTCTGGGTCCAGCCAGGAGCCACCTGGTTTATCACCTTCTTCATAGGTGAGTTTGGGGCTCCAGGGAAGAGGAAGGGTCTGGCTCCTCCCAAAACTGTGGCAGGGTGGGCACTGGGGCTATGGGGACGCTCCTGTGGGCAGGGGCTGATGGGCAGTGGGGTCCTCAGAAGGGGAGGAACTGCTGGGCACTGGTCAGGGCACCCAGCTCCATAGGGGTGTGTGGAACTGGTGAGGGGTCACCGGGGTCCTTCTGGAGTGTCCAGCTCCATGGAGACAGATTCCCATCTCCAGCCAGAGGAAGGCTCACCCACACAGGAGGATATTCCAGTGGTGAGTAGGTGATGCCACTGGCATCCTCTAGAGCCTTTTCCACCTCAACCCATCCCTCTCTGAGCTAGAGGCTGGAATAGAGACATCTGGGGATCATTCCCACCCTCCACCCCTCTGATCCACCATCCTGTGCTGGCACCTGGCTCTCCCTGTCCCCAGAGCCACCCTTTGTCCCCTGGGCACAGCATCCATCCTTCCAACTCAAGACTGGGACTTTCTGTGGTTCTGGAGTGGCCTGAGCCCTCCCTCCATGAGGGACACGGAGGTGTCACTGTCACAGCCTTGTGTCGTCTCCCCCAGCCTGGGCTGGAATAGGAGCCACCTGCTTGGGTCACACGTGTCACCAGGACCTGATGGCTCCACAGGGAACATCCAGACCCCTGAAAACCCTGTGGGGGGCTGAAGCCAATGCTGGAGGGTCAGTACCCACCTGCCTCAGTTTACCCTCTGCCCAGAGCCGGGGTGTGGGATACGAGGATGGGAAGCAGGAGCTGTTGCAGCAGCTCCCTCTGTGTCCCCCCCCCCAGATGTCCCCTGTTCCCTGAGAGATGAGGCTCATCCTGGGCAGATCCAGTCAGGGAAATCCCATGGGACATGCATTCCCACCTCACTTGCCAGCAGTTTTTGTAGGGTCTATGTAAATGTGACATTTATAAACACAGCTCTGGGAATACAGCTCGCCTGTGTGTCGCTGCTGTCCTGCCCCTCTCTGCCAGCTGGGGACACGTGGGCCCCATCCCTGACCCAGTTGGTGGTCTTGGGGGACAGAGGGCCCTGGGAGGGGACAGCCAGGGCAGGCCTGGAAAACCTCAGCTCCTTCTGATGGGAAAAACTGCTTCTCCTTGGTCCCGCTGCCGTCCTCCCCCAGCTCCGGTGCAAAGCCCTTCCCAGGGCAGGTTCCAGAGGAGGTGAGTGATGGGCTGGGAGCTTGGGGTGGCATCAGGGCACTCCTGATTCCCCAGTGCCACCAGGTGCCCAGGTGGGACCAGGAATGGGTAACTTTGGCTGGTGAGTCCTTTGTGAGGGGCTTTTGGGGCTGGTGGCGTGTGACGAGTTGTGGGAAGGCTCAGGACAGGGCTTGGAGTGGGACCACCTGGGCTCACAGGTTTGGATGGCTGTGACTCTGTCCCTGCTGCTGTGCCACCATCCCATGGAACTCACCTGTGTCCAAACCCCTCCAAGGGCCTGGCACAGGCTGGACATGGGGGAATATGGACCCCCCCACACACACCCAGACCCCTTTGCCTTGGAGACAAGGATGGAGAGACCCTGTTGTGTAGGTCTGGGGGCTGGTTTAAGGCTTGGGGAGCCCCAGTACATGGATTTGGGGGACTGGGAGACTCTGGTGTGTGGGGTTTGGATTTGGGAGACCCCAGAAGGCCCCAGGTTTTGGGGCTCTCTGCTGCCTTGTAAGATTCAAGCCCAGGGAGCGACCCTGGCTCAGATCAAGGGAAATAAGCCAAAGGGCAGGAGTTACACTCCAGGTTTTTGGGGTCCACCCTGAGCACAGACCCCCAAACCTGCCTGGACATTGTGCTGGAGCAGAACTTGGGAGGCACCGGGGGGTGCTTGATGTGGCTTATCCCCTCCATGCTGTGAAAAAATGAGTTTATTCCCAGCTTGGAGTCTGTTTGGAGACTGGAAATCGCAGCCTCTGCCCGTCCTTTGGGGAGGCTTTTGGGATGGACCCTTCAGGGCTTTGGGATATGTTTCCCTGGGGGCAGCAGCGAGGTGCTCCTCTCCCACTGGCATTCCTCGGCCCTGCCACCGCGCTGGGAAGCCCCCAAAACTGCATCTGTTGCAACAGAAGGAGCTAAAAATAGTTGTTCTCACGGCGGATGCAGGGAAGCATCCAAATATGCGGCCTCGGGAGCTGCCAGCAGCCGAGGACGGGGCTGACCCCCAGCCCATGCCTGGCTGACACCCTGTGGCCTCTGCCACACCAAATCTTCCCCCACTGACCCTTCGAAGCCCCCCCAGTGCAACCTGAGCCCCCAGGACCTGTCTCGATGCTGGGGCTCTGCTGAGTGCAGGCAGGGGGAGCAGGCAGCCCCCGGGTGCAGGCAGGGAGGCAGGCACAGCAGGCAGGGGGAGCAGGCAGCCCCTGGGTGCAGGCAGCCCCCGGGTGCAGGCAGGGGGAGCAGGCAGCCCCCCGGGTGCAGGCAGCGAGGAGTTAACCTCCCCACGGCCGCCGGATGCAGCATCCTGGGCTGGGCTCTTTCCATCTTGTTTTGGTTTGGAGGAATAAAAGCTTTGGCAGCAGTGGAGCCGCTTCCCAAAATAACTCGGCCTCCCATGGTAATTACAGAGCTCCGGGCCCCGGTGGCTTCCCAGCCGTGCTGGGACCTGCCGGACGGGGTGAGGGACACCGGGGTGCCTCGGGGACCTTGGGGACCTCTCGGGCTGCACCAGCCTCCCCTGGGTGTCACCATCGCCGCGTCATCCCCCAGCCGAGACCGTGCAGCCCCTTCTCTCCCTCCCGCTCCTCAGCTGATCCCTTCAGCTTTTAATGCTCTCCTTGAAGCCCGGGTTGCAGCTCGGTGGGCACTGGGCTACTAGAGAGAGGTCGTGGCAAACTGGTGGCCGCACCAGGCTGTGCCCGCTGGCAGGGCTGAGAACACCCAGCTCATCACAGCAGTTCTCGGCTCGCCCTCCCACCCCCGCGGGCCTCGGGCGCTGCTCCTTGAAGGGCAGGGAGAGCCGGGGCTGAGCTCCTGGAGCCCCCCTAATCCCCGGTAATCTCAGAGGAAAGCGCTGGCTGTGGGGATTAGGGATGTAAACAGCCACCCTCACCTGCCTGCCCCTGCCTGCCCCCACCTACCCCCTGCCTGGAGCCTTCCAGGCAGTGAGGATGGGTCTCCAGACAGCGGAATCCCTGCCTGGCCCCCCTAAATATGGGGTCCGGGTGGCCACCGGTGCTCTCTGAGGCTGTGCTGAGCCTGTGGTGGTTATTTATGGGAATAAAGGGAATGTGGAGCCATCTGGACACAGCCTGGCTCCATAACGTGGCAGGGGACGAGGCTCCAGGCGGTGACAAGGTTGGGGACAAGGCTGAGACGGTCCCTGTGGGGTTACACAGCCTTGGTCAGGGTCTTTGTGGAGCTGGATCCATCTTTTCCCACTGGGGAATTACCACTGGTTTTCCTTATGGGTAGGGAAACTGAGGCAGGGAGGAGGTGCCCGTGAGAGGGAAGCTCTGGGGATGCACGTGGCATTGCCACCCCCCCAGCTTGAGGGGGACAAGGACAGTCCTGCTGTGCAGCTGGACCGGGAGACTGAAATTTGGGGATGGCTGAGGCTGTGCCAGCTGCTCACGGCAGGGAACGGCCCCTGGCAGCCAAGGCTCCCCCTGCCCCTTTCCTGGCCGGAACAGCGCACCCCACGGTGCCCCAGCCGCGGTGCCAGCGTCCTCCCCTGCCCTCGGGGCACGGGGACACAGCCACTGCCATTCACACGAGCTCGGGACGGGGGGCATCCCGGGAAGGGGCTGTCATTCCGCCCCTGTAGTGGAATGGGGACAGGGACACAGAGCATCGGGTGGCTGGGTCCTCGTGCCAGGTTGCCAACACACCAGCCAGGGGCAGGATGGCTCGGCATCAGCCCTGGGAAGGGTTGCAGGAGGCAGAAGCAGGTTGGCATTTTGCAGAGGGAGCACTGGGAAAGGCTGGGATCCAGTGCCCCATGCCCAGTGTGTCCTCAGCCCCTGGTACCCACCAGGTGATGTGTGATGGGTGGTGTTGGCATGTTTTCCCAGTACCCAATACCCACCACCTGGTGCCCAGTGCTCCCAACACCCGGTGGCTGACGTGGATCCTGGTGTCTCCTGCCCAGTACCGGTACCCACAGAGCAATGCCCGGTACTGGTGCCCACTCCCAGGAGTCACTCCCTGGCACTGGGGCTGTTCCCTCTCATCTGTGCCAGTAACTGCTGCTGAGGCCTTGTACCCACTGCCTGTACTGGGCCCTGAAAACGTCCAGTACCCAGTACTGGTACCCAGTGCCCGTGGCCTGTCCCTGGTACTGGTGCCCTGTCCCTGCTGCAGTGCCCTGTTCCAGGTATCCAGTGTTGGTGCCCTGATGCCAGAGCCCTGTGCCTGTTGCTGCTGCCTTGTACCACCACCCTGTGCCCGCTGTGCAGTGCCTGCTGCCTGGTGAGTGATGCCAGAGCCAGTGCCTGACCCCAGGGCCTGGTGCAGTGCCTGGTGCCCAGGCTGGGTGCCGATGCCAGTGCCCAGGACCAGTGCCCGGGACTGATGCCAGTGCTCAGTGCCAAGGCTGGATGATGATACCCAGGTGCTGGTGCTGGTGCCCAGTGCTGGTACCCAGTGCCTGATGCCACTGCCTGGTGTCCAGTGCCTGCTGCGAGTGCCGGGTTCCCAATGCTTGATGTTGGTGCCCGCGCCCGGTGTGCAGTGCTTGGCCCCGGTGCCGGTGCCCGGTGCCAGGCGCTGTTTCCGATGCCGGTGCTGATGCCGGTGCCCGATGCCCGACTCTGCTGCCGGACGCCGGTGCCCGGTGCCGCCGGTGATGCCGAGCGGCCCCCCCCCCCCCCCGCCCCCCGGCCCGCCCCGCCCCGGGGCCGCCCCCGCCCCCGCCGCTGCTATTTCTGCTAATCCGCGGCGGGGCCCGGCCGTGCCCATCGGCAGCCGCCGCTCCCGGACGGCGCCCGGCGCCGCAGCCATGGTAAGGCCGGTGGGGAGCGGGGGCACCGGCCCGGGCTGCCCCGCACCGCCCCGCACCGTGGCACGGGCCCGCTCCCGCAGCGCGGGCCCGCTCCGGTGCCCTCCGTGAAGGTGACGGTGCGCGGGGGCGGAGCGGACCCGGGGCCGCCGGTGCCGCAGCGGAGCGCGGGGGGGACACGGGCGGCACCTGCCCGGGCCCCGCGGGGGAGGCGGGGGGCGGCCGCGGGCCCCTCAGAGCGGCATCGGGGCGGGCAGCGCTCGGGAGCGTCACCTGCGTGTCCCCGCGTCCCGCCTCCCCCCGCCGTGTCCGTGCGTGGGCAGCGGGGGCTGCTCTCGGGTGGCTCCGTGCCGAGCATCGCTCCCCAGCGCGGCTACTGGCAGGTCCCCGGGTTGCGGCGCTGGTGGCACCGCCAGCCTGGCCGGGCCCTCGGCGGGGACTGTCACACGCACGGAGCGGGCTCTGCACTCACCGGCAAGGTCCGGAGACGTCACTGGCATTCCCGGCCCGCGGGAGCTTGTCCTGCATCTCTCGTCCTGTCCCCCCCCCTCCGCGGTGGTGGCGGGTCCCCGGGAACCGCTCGGCAGGGCCACGTCCCCGCGGGGACCTCCGGCCACTGGCCGTGCCCAGGGTGGGGATAGGGACGGCGGGCTGTGGCCGTGGCTCGCGTGGCACCGGGGTGGTGGCCGCTGGGACAAGTGCCCTTGGTGGGGAGCGCTGTGGCCGCCCTTCCCCGGCAGCCGCCGTGGGAACCAACCCGGCACATTCCTCGGGGGCTGGACGCAGTGGAAGCAGGGAGGAAGGAGGGCGGCTGGCGGAGCGTGTCGCAACGAGCGCCTTCCCGACAGGCTCCAAACTGTGGCTTTGGGATGCACAGAGCCAGGCTCGGGAACATCTGTGCGGAGGACGGCGGTCGCGGCTGGGTACCGGCAGGGAGCTGCGCTCCCTTCTCGCTGCATATGGGGCTGGAGGTGGTCCAGAAGGACCCCCGGAGGTGGAGCAGGTGCCCCCCGACACCAGTGCCACATCCCTGTGTCCCCAAAGCAGTTCACGGCTCGGCCGGAGAAATGGGATGAGCAATGGTACCCCCCGACCTCTGCTCCCAGCTCTGAGTGGGTTGGATCTTACCCGTCCCCACGTGCTGAGATGTCACCTCGTTCCCAGCCCGGACAGCCCCCGCTGTCACCTCCCGGCTCACGGGGAGCCACCGCGCATGGTCCCATCCCGGGGTCCCCACGCAGGTGCTCACAGGTCCTTCCAGCTGGAGGATTCTCTGTAGGAATGGGCTGGAGCTGCTGCACCAAGGGATGTGGCTCTTGTCCCACCTGCTTGGTGACCAAGGACCCGCGCTGCTGCCTACCCCTCACCCACAGGGTGCCCAGCACCCTGCTCCTCCGGGAGCTGTTGGGAGACTCAGATTCCCGATGGGATGCTGCTGATGGGTGGCAGGGGAGAGCTCCGGTTCTCCAGTGGGACCATCCCGTGCACCCGGGGCAGACCTGTCCCGGGGGAGAGCCAGGCTGCTCCTGGCACTGCTGGGTTTGGTGGGGGTCACCGTGTTCCTGTCCGGTGCTGGGCTCGTGCCTTGGGGACGCCGCCTGTGCCCGGGGTGCTCAGCCGTAGTGACACGGTGGAGCAGCACGTGCTGCGCTCTGGGTGGCACATCTGGGTGTCACCTTTTCGTGGGCGGGGGACACCTCGGCCAACCCGGCCAACCCAACTCGGCAGCACCTCGCCGCGGTGTTCCCTTCCTCCCCCTGCAGAAACAGTCTGGGGAAACACATCCCATGGGAACGCGGTGCCCGGTGGGAAGCCGCTAAGGGGCAGCCAGGCTTTCCTAGCTCGGGCTGTGCCCGCTGTCCCCGCGTCCCCCCTCTGCCGCAGCCCTCGGGCTGTCGCCGTGCGGGGCTGGCGCGATGCGGAGTGACAGGCGAGGGGGAGGCAGCTCGTGTGCCACCTCTCCGGGGCTGTGACAGCCCGGGTGTGAGGCCGCCTTGCACTCAGCCGGGTGTGTAATCTGCTTACGGGGGCACCGGCGCAGCCCCGGGCTCTCGCTGCCGTAAATCCCTGTTCCTGCCGGCAGTGCGGGTTGGGACGCTTGGAAAGCGACCGAGAGCCCCTGGATCGCGCCTGAGCGGCTCTGATGCATCCCGACAATGCATCAAGGTGAATCAGCGTCCCTGGCGACCCCGAGGTGACAGCTGGGGAACCCTGGCTGCCACCCACGGCTCCTCCTGGGGCACTGTTAACCCTCCGCCTCCCAGGGATGAGCCGGGAGAGCCGAGGCAGGAACGCAGGAGCCTGGGATCCCTGTGGTGGGCAGCGTCCCTGCTTCTCCCAGGCCAGGGCTGTGTCCTTCCCAGGGAGGCCCAGCTCCAGCAGGAACTTGGAGCCGTGTGGGGAAGCTTTAATTATCAGGTGCAAAGGTGTGGAGTTTTAAAATATTTTTTCATGGAAAACTGGGTTTCTCCCCTCAAAGAGGCTGTGGAGCCCTCCCTGGCTGGTGTCTGTGGGGTGCTCCAGGGTGAGGAGCAGGAAAGCATGTGCTGTGCAGCAGGATGGAGGGGGTTTTGTCTGAGGATGGAGGGGGGTTTTGTCTGAGGATGGAGGGGGTTTTTGTCCCAGGACAGAGGGTGTTTTTGTCCTGAGACAAAGGTGTTTCCAAGGACCGAGTGTCCTCCTGGGCTGTAGCCAAGCTGTGTGTTCAGCCCAGGGGTGATGGTGATGATGGTGATGATGGTGATGATGGCAGTAGTCCTGCAGCCCCCCAGTACCTCCCTTGCCACCTTCTTGGCCAACGGTGCTTTTCTGGTCCTTGAAATCTCGGCAGCCGGGCAGGAGCTGGGCTTGGCTCTGCCCCGGGGGTCCCTCTGCCCTCCTGTGCCCCGCAGCCCCCGCAGGGGCCGTGCCTGGCCCGTGGGTGCCCTGGGCGCTCGGCGCGCAGCCTGCCCAGGGTGGAGTTATGCTAATGCCGCTCCCCTTCCCTCGGCACAGCCGGGGCCACTCGGCATCTGCTCCTGGCCACGGGCGACACCGGCTGTGCCATGGCCACCTGCCCCGAGCTGCAGCCTGGGCAAGAGGTACGGGGCACCGACCGTCCCCGACAGGGCGAGAGAGAGGGCAGAGGGGATGGGGGGACCCGGAGCACCCTGATACTGCGGGAAGGTGCCAGAGCCGATGCTCCGTCCCTGGAACAGCCCTGCTGGGGGCTGCACCTGCTGCAGGAGCCCCAAGGATGTGGCGCAAACCCCTCCGGTGCTGCAGCACCGCTGAGGCCATCGGCCTCGCTGGGGGTGGGAGGCGAGGGGGAGCCCCGAAGGGCCGGAGCCCCGAAGGGCCGGAGCCCCGAGGGAAGGAGCGGCAGCGGCGCTGGAGGCGCTCGGAGGTGGAGGTGGCATCACCTCCCACCCCCGTGTGCCCCCGGCCCGGCCGTGCTGTGGCGGGGGCTGGAGCTGAGCCCCCCAGAGCAAGGTCGGTGAGGAAGAGGATGCTTCGCTCTCACAGACCCACCGAGCACTCGGGACCCGCGTGGGGAGAGGGAAACACAGCGGGTCCTGCAGCCCCCGCCACGGGGGCACCTGCTGTCCCCCAGCCTGGCACCACGTCCCCCCGAGCTGGGGGCGCGGGGCAGCAAGAGAGGGGGGCAGTAAGAGAGGGGGGTAGCAGGAGAGGGGGGCAGCAGGAGAAGGGGGGCAGCAGGAGAAGGGGGCAGCAAGAGAGGGGGGCAGCAGGAGAGGGGGGTAGCAGGAGAGGGGGGCAGCAGGAGAGGGGGGGCAGCAGGAGAGGGGGGTAGCAGGAGAGGGGGGCAGCAGGAGAGGGGGGCAGCAGGAGAGGGGGGCAGCAGGAGAGGGGGGTAGCAGGAGAAGGGGGCAGCAGGAGAGGGGCAGCCGTGCGAGCGCTCAGCGCCGGCAGCGCCGTGACCTTGTTTCCAGTCCGCTAATTCCGCGCATCCCGCCTCGCCGCCGGCACCGCTGCCCGCCCAGCGAGCGGGGACACGGCTGCGGGAGGACACGTGTCCCCACGGAGGGCTCTCGCCTCGAGGGCCCCCGGTCTGGGGGGGCACTGACCCCCAGCTGGGAGCCTGCAGAGTCAAGGGCTCCCCCAGACGCGCCGTGCCCCCTGTTTGGGGGTCTCGCTGCCCATGGGGTCTCCTGGCAGTTGCCACGGCAGGAGCTTGGGGACCTTGGTCCCGCGGGAGCTACTGCCGGACATGCCCTTGGGAACGCGTCTCCTCCCGCCAGTGCTCGTAAACAGGATGTGGAGCCATCCCAAAGCCGGCGGCCCCGGCCCTCGTCCCCACCCGCCGCCCCACAGGGCCACCAGCCGGGGGTCGCTGTACCTGCCCCCCCCCCAGCCCCTCCCTGGCGCTGCTGCCTGCGCCCGCTCCAGGATGGGCAGAGCCGGGGAGGGGGTGTCGGGGTCCTGGTGACATCTATGGGCCGGGTCCCCTGCCCTGGCTGTCCCCTGGGACCGCAAGGACAGCAATTCCTTGGGCCATCCCCCACGCTGAGACCCCACAAGCGGGCAGGTGGGGGGGCACGAGCAGACCCTTGCCCACCCTCTGCCTCTCCCCGGCCCCAGCCCCGCTCCAGCTTCCCCACCCCCCACTACTGCTCTTAATCACTTCTTGGTGTCTCTCCCTCCTCCCCGGCGCCCCCTCCCCACCCTCCCGGCAGGCCATGGGGTGTGTGGGGGTCCTGGCCACCCCAGAAGACCCCGAGGAGCGGCAGGGTGCCCAGGGGGATGGTGCCCATCCCTGTGCCCCGGAGTGCCAGGAGCTGGCTGCCGTCCCCACAACACAAGCTGTAAGAGCCCAGGGTGCACAGGACCACGGCTGTCCCCACTGCCATCCCCAGGGCTGTCCCCAGGGCTGTCCCCAGGGTGGTGGCTCGTCCCCTGGGGTGGCCATGTCCCCCCTCTCCTCCCACCCCTGCCATCCTTAGGCTGCATGTGTCTGGCTGCTGCTGCTGGGGTACTCGTGCTGCTGAGTCGGGTGGTGCCACCTCGGGCCGGCACTGCCACCGTTAGTGTCACCTCCTCCCGTGTCCCCCAGATAAAGCGTTTCCTGAAGGAGGACTCGGACGAGGCTGAGCTGACCCAGTTCCTGCGGGATTGCCCTCCGGCCGACAGTCCCAGGAAGGTGGAGACTCCGGAGGGCCGGCGGGAGCCCGGCCACCCCCTGGGCACTGCGGGCAGGGGCCCCGCCGAGGAAGCCACGGACGAGAGGGACTCCAGGATCTTTTCCCGGTCCCGGCCCCTGGATACCCCGCAGCACATCGCAGCCCCCCCCGCCCCCCAACCCCAACCGCCCGCGGAGCCCCTGGGGGCAGCTGGACCCCTACGACTCCTCCGAGGTGCGGGACGCGTCCGTGGAGGGGCGGGGGGGGGGCACACAGGGGGTGAGGGGCTGCAGGAGTCACGGTGGAGGGTGTTCCCATCCTGCAACCACAAAGGTTTAAGGCAGGAATGGCCCCAAGCCTGGGGGGCGGGAGGAGGGGGGTGGCCTGCCAGGACAGGAGGTGTGATGGTGGTGTCCCCTGTCCCACGTCCCCTCTGCCCGCAGGATGACAAGGAGTACGTGGGCTTTGCCACCCTGCCCAACCAGGTGCATCGCAAGTCGGTGAAGAAGGGCTTCGACTTCACCCTCATGGTGGCAGGTACGGGGGGCACAGCTGGGCTGGGGGATGCTGAGCCCACTCTGGAGCCCAAACACCACGGGGCAGGGTGTGGGGGGTACTGGCTACACCCCCTCACCCTTGTCCCCCTTTTCCAGGGGAATCCGGGCTGGGCAAGTCCACGCTGGTGAACAGCCTGTTCCTGACGGACATGTACAGGGACAGAAAGCTGCTGAATGCTGAAGGTGAGGGGGGAACAGTCACAGCCCACATGGGGTGTCCTGGTGACACGGGGGGGGGGTGGCAGAGCCCCGTGATACCCCTGGGGGGCTGCAGCCCCTCTCCCTGCCCAGCTGGGCTCCTCTGAAGCCACATGTGGCCCGTTGCCAGCCACCTGCTGGCCCTGGGGATGGCTCCAAGGCAGCAGGGCCCCCCCCTGCCCGGCACAGGGACCCCCCACAGGGGCTTTGTCCCCACAGGGAAAACAAGCCCTGGCTTGTTGGGCATGGCAGCAAAAATCCAGGAGTCTGAGGGCAGTTGGGATCTGAGGCCAGTTCAGCTACAGGCAGTTTTTGAATTAAAATGGCCCAAACTTGCCCAAATCCCCAGGAGTTCGCGGGGTTTGTTTCATTTGTTTCCGCTGCTTGGAGTGAAAGCCAAAGAACACAATGCAGCAGGAGCATCCCTATGGATCCAGGGACACGGAGGGGTGCTGGGGGTGAAGGGGCATGTGCAGCCTGGAGCTGTGGGGTCAGACACGGGGGTACAGGGGGCCTTCAATGCTCCCACAGCGATGCCACCCCCAGCAGCCCCCCATGCTGCCCGAGCTGGGGTCCTGGGATGCAGGTGGCATGGGTGGGCATCCATGGGGATCCATGGGGATGTGGAGGCCATGGCATGGAGCTGGACAGCCCAGCGATCCAGCAAAGCCACCCCAGCCCCCGGGGAGGGGGTGACACCTGTCCTGTCACCTCCATCCTCTCTTGTCCGTGGTGTCCCCCCCGTTGACGTGTCTCCTGCCACCCCAGAGCGCATCACGCAGACGGTGGAGATCACCAAGCACGTGGTGGACATCGAGGAGAAGGGGGTGAAGCTGCGCCTGACCATCGTGGACACGCCGGGCTTCGGTGACGCCGTCAACAACACCGAGTGGTGAGTCCCTGGGGGTGCTCCAAAGGAGCCCACATTATGTATTACTTTACATTAAATTATTTCCCACATTATACACACTACCCACGTAGGAATATCTCACATCCTTTGTGTGCACGACCCACATCGATTTTCGTGCTTCACCCCATAAACTCCCAGCCAAGACAACAACAGATCCAGGCACGAGGAACAGATATGGAAAGTTCTAGGAATTAATTCAAAAGTTCAGACCAAAACCTACTCAATGTTAACTTATAAGTATTACATGTAAACTAAGTTAACTTAGTTTACCTATAACATGTATAAGTTAGTGTATATCTCTCTCTATATATACACATACATATACATATATATAGTATATATATAGTGTGTTTATATATAGTGTATATGTATAGTGTGTATATATACATTTATACACATATAACTCAACTTATATGTATAATGGTTGACTTATAGGTGTATATATATATATATATACATATAACAACTTATATGTATACTGTTGACTTATATGTACATATATATATATATATATACATATATATATACAAATAACTTAACTTATATGTATAATGTTAAGTTATATGTGCAACCCACTGGATCCTCCTGGACACAGGAATGTTCCAGTGCCTAATACCAATCCTCTAGGACATAACATCAATTAATACTTGTTCTAATGGCACACAAGGAGCAAAAGGTTATCTCTTAACCGTATTTCTCAGGTGAAATCAGCAGCCTGGGGTCAGTAAGGCCTGTCACCACCAGCTGCAGGACCATTCTTTCCCCCTGCACCCTCGCCCAAGAGGGTGGGCACGGCACGAGGGGTGGGATGGGTGAGAGCTGAGGGTCCACAGAAAGCTTGCAAGTCCCACAGAGGACTCGATGTCACCCCACTGTCCCTGCAGCTGGAAGCCTGTGGCCGACTACATCGACCAGCAGTTCGAGCAGTATTTCCGTGACGAAAGTGGCCTCAACCGGAAAAACATCCAGGACAACCGTGTCCACTGCTGCATCTACTTCATCTCGCCCTTCGGCCACGGGTAGGGGCACTGCCGGGCTGGGGGGGCTGGGGAGGGGTTGGTGGGGCTCACCAGGCTCCCCCCGCAGGCTCCGGCCCCTGGACGTGGAGTTCATGAGGGCCCTGCACCAGCGCGTGAACATCGTGCCGGTGCTGGCCAAGGCGGACACGCTGACCCCCGCCGAGGTGGAGCGCATGAAGAACAAGGTGAGGGGGGATCGCTCCAGCCTGGAGCCATCCCGGCGGGTCCCTGGGCGTGGGGGTGCCCTGGGGGTCCCCGCTTGGCTGGGGGTTCTGTCCATCTCCTGCCTGGACTTTGGCCGGGAGCATTCTCCATGGAGGACCATGTTGACCCCGTGGCCACCCAGGACCACCCTGGGGCTCAGCTGGGGGCTGGAAGGGTTTGAGGGGTGTTAGTCTGGGGGGAACAGGCTTTTGGGGGATACTGGCATTGTGTGGTGTCTCTCACCCCTTCCCGAGGGCCGGAGCCCTGCCCTGAGGGAGATGTTTGCCTCCAGATCCGGGAGGAGATCGACCACTACGGCATCCGCATCTACCAGTTCCCCGAGTGCGACTCGGACGAGGATGAGGAGTTCAAGCTGCAGGACCAGGCACTAAAGGTGGGTCTGGCTCCTGCAGTTCCATCCTTGGAGGGGTAGAGCCCCATGGCTAGGAGGACACATCATCCTGGGGTACCTGTAGGACTTTTTGGAGCCGCACAAGCTCTGCGGGGAGGGCACATCACCCTGGGGCACCTGCAGGAGTCTTTGAGGCCACACCAGCTCTGCAGGGAGTACATGTCATCCTGGGGTATCTGTAGGAGTTTTTGGGGCCACAGAAGCTCTGCAGCAGCCCCAGCATTGAGGGGCTGGTACATGTCACACGGGCACATCGCCAAGATCCCACAGCTTGGTGGGATGGGCAAGGGATGGAGAAGCTCATGCCACTGCCCCTGGATCTCCACAGCCTGAAATATCTTGGCAAAGGGATGCTGGACACAGCAGAGGAGATACCTGGGAAGGGATGTGGGGCATGGCAGGCAGGACAGAGCCCTGCTGACCCCCTGTTATTAAAATTATTAGAAATGCCTCTGCCTGAATCAAGGTGCAAATGAGCCTCAGACAGGCCACTTTGCAGTTTGACAAAGAACCTTTCTATGATTCTTTCCAGAGAGGGTAATCAGCCATTGGAATGGGCTGCCCAGGGAGGTGGTGGATTCTCTGTCCCTGGAGGTTTTTAAGATGAGACTGGATGTGGCATCAGTGCCATGGGCTGGGAACCACAGTGATAGTGGATCAAGGGTTGGACTTGATGATCTCAGAGGTCCTTTCTATGATTTTGACAATGTTTAAGACAATGAACAACATTTCAGTCTCTCCCTCACCCTCCTGCAGGAGAGCATCCCCTTCGCCGTCATCGGCAGCAACACGGTGGTGGAGGCCAAGGGCCGGCGCGTCCGCGGGCGCCTCTACCCCTGGGGCATCGTGGAAGGTAACGCCGGGCTGTCCCCAGTGTCCCCACGGCCATTTGGGGACGGGGATGTCGCCCCGTGTCGGTGCTGCTGAGCCCGGGGGGGGGTCGGGGAGCCCCCTGACCTCGGGCTGCCCCGCAGTGGAGAACCCGTCCCACTGCGACTTCGTGAAGCTGCGGACGATGCTGGTGAGGACCCACATGCAGGACCTGAAGGACGTGACGAGGGAGACCCACTACGAGAACTACCGCACCCAGTGCATCCAGAGCATGACCCGCATGGTGGTGAAGGAGAGGAACCGCAAGTACGGGGCTGGCAGAGGCGGGGCCAGGCTGGGCAGGGACGGGGGGGGGGGGGGGGGGCCCCCCCCCGGGGGGGCCCCCCCCCCCCCCCCCGGGGGGGCTCCAAGGGGTGGGGGTGGGGTGTAGTTCCGTCCTGGGGTGGGCAGGGGGTTGGGGAGGGGGCCCTTCCTGTGCCACAGGGCTGGGAATGGCTGGGGGGGATGGGCCAGAAGTGAGGGGGACCCTGTGTCGCTCAGGGCTGGGTCTGCCTTAGGTGGGGATGCTCCAGCAGTGAGGAGGATCCTATGTCACCCTCGGGGCTGGCTGGGGTAGTAAGTGGGACCCTGCATCCTCCCAGGGCTGGGATTGACAGAGGGGGATGATCCAGTGGAGGGGGGACCCTGCATCTCCCCAAGGCTGGGATTGATGGAGGGGGATGATCCAGCAGTGAGGGGCATCCTGTGTGCCCCCAGGGCTGGGGTGGGAGTGGGGGTGTGCTCTACCAGCAAGGAGGACCCCGTGTCCCCCCCGACCAGGGCATGTCTCAGGGGGTGCTCTGGCAGTGAGGGGGATCCTGCATCCCCGTGGGGCTGGCTGGGGGGGGGTTGCTCCAGCAGTGAGGAGGACCCTGCATTCCTGCAGGCTCTGGGGCCAGAGCAGGACCCAGACAAACATCCCGTGCTGGGGCTCTGCTCCCAGACCAGCTGCAGCCATGGCACCCACATCCCCTTTAGCCACCCCAAGATGCTGAGGGAGCCCCCCAAGGAAGGGTCCCTGGTGGGACCCTCCAGCTGGGGAGTTGGAGCAGTGTGGGAGCGAGTGGAGGCTCTGTGGGTCGGGGGGGCTGAAGCAGCGCTGTGGGGGGCTGCCAGGGGCTGTAGGCACCTCTCTAGGCACCTCTAAACGGTCTCTCCCTGCGTGCCCCGGGCAGGGGCTGTCCCTCCGTGCTGAGGCTGTGCTGCGCCGACTGCTCTGCCGACTGAGCCGCGACTGGCCGGGGCCGCGCTGGGCCCCACCCCCCCCCCCCCGCCCCCCCCCCCCCTCCCCCCCGCCCCCCCATAAAGTACTTGTTGGTACCCAACACTGTCTTGGTCCTTCTGTGCCCGAGCAAGGGCCGGGCAGCCGCCCTCGAGGCGAGCCTGCCCCGTGGCTACCCCCCGGCCCAGTGGTCACCCACTCGTGTCCCACACAGACTGCCCTTGGGGTGCCAGGAGGATGCTGGGTGCTGGTGGCATCACTCCTGCTCTCCCAGGGCTGGGGACATGTGGCCCCAGTTGGTGGCACTGAACCCCCCAGTGGCTGGCAAAGTCCTGCCCTCCCAGGGGAAGTGATTTTGGGGTGCAGACAGTCTTTGCTGGGCTGGTGGGGCTGCTCATCCCAGTGCTGGTGCCTGGCTCCAGCCTTGTCCTGCTGCCAGGGGTAGAGGGATCTCCGTGTGCTCCCCACTGTGTCCCCCCTGGGTGAGGAGCCGTGACAACGGGCAGCGACTTCCAAGGCACCTCAAAACGTGGCCAAACCCCGTCCCTCGCCCTGGCACAGCCCCCTGGCACAACAGGACCCCGCAGGGCAGGGATGGCCCGTCCTGCCTGTGCCACATCCAGTGTCCATCACTGGAGGGGCCACGCTGTGGTGGCACGTGGCGGTGGCACGTGGCAGCACGTGTGACCCCTGCCAGCCACTCTCGGTGTCCCAGCCCTGTCGTCACCCGCTGGGGTGGCACGTGGCATCCAGAGGGACGGGTGGGAGAGCTGGTCCCTCCCAGTGCCGTGGGCATGGGAGAAGCCATTGATCCCGGCTGGCTGCAGTCCTGCGAGGGGGGGTGGCCTCGGGGGGATGCTCACTGCTCCCTCCTCCAGGAATGAGGTTGAACGGGAGCTGAGGCTCGGGAAAAGGGATGTGGAGCATCCCTGGGGCTGGCTGGGCACAGGGGTGCCCGGGGAGCCTGTCCTGAAGCAGCAGGGCAGAGAGGGGAGATGCCATGTTTTAAAGCAGCAGAGAAAATATTGGGCCAGCAGAGCCCAATCCCAGTGGGATGCTTCCCAAAATGGGAGGGTCTGCAGGAAGTCCCTGGGTCATCCCCCCCCCAGTGGTGTGTGGCAGGTTGAGGGTGCTGAGGTTTGGAGGGATACCTGGAGCCTCTCACATCCTCAGTGCCTGGAAAGAGGCCTCTTGTGTTGGTGGCCTGGAGGCTCGGGGGCTGTGCAGGTGGGTAGTGGACACGGCATGGTTTGGGGTATCCGTGGGGGAATGTGCCCTCAGGGGGGCTGGGAAAGCATCCTCACCTCCTCTGTCTTCCCACAGCAAGCTGACACGGGAGAGTGGGACAGACTTTCCCATCCCTGTCATCCCCCCAGTGCCAGATGTGGAGACAGAGAAGCTCATCCGGGAGAAGGATGAGGAGGTGAGTGTGGGGGAGGCTGAGCCCCCCCCAGCCCCCCTTTCCCCTCTCTGCAGCCCCAGCCATGGCACATCCACCTGGGCCACCCTTCCTGCACCATCCCAGCAGCTGCTGCTCCTCAGGCCAAGGGTCAGGAGGTGCTGAGGGGCATCAGAGGGTTCCCCCAACTCACCTCCTGCTGATCCCGGCCTGCCTGGGGTGCCTGCCCCAAAGCTGCTGTGGCTGGAGCCGCCGGCACCCCCCTTGACCCCTGTTCTGCTCCCTTCCAGCTGCGGCGGATGCAGGAGATGCTGCAGAAGATCCAGAAGCAGATGAAGGACTCACACTAGCCTCTTCCTCCGCCTCCTCCTCCTCCTGCTCCTGGCCCCCGGATCAGAAATGTTTACATCACGCTCCGCCCCGCCCGGCCCCGCCAGACTCGGTACCAACCGCACCCGCCACCTTAAAGCTGCTGCGGTATCGCCTTATCCACCGCCCAGCGCCGCCCCAGGGGACAGCCGGGGACAGCCAGGGGACAGCCCACCCGGCCCGGGGGTCCCCTGCCCCCGTGTCCCCCCGCCCCCGGGGACAGCTCTGTCCCCCAAGCTTTGGCTTTCCCTGTGTCCCCCCAGCTCTGGGCCACCCTGCTCCCCCTGTCCCCGTGTCACCTCGGGCTCCTGCTCCCAGCCGTCACGTCGACACGGCCCTCGGGTAAGGGGAGAGGAAATGGGGGCACTGGTGCCAGCCCCCCCCAGCTGCCCCGCCGTGGGGGACAGGGCTGCTTGTTGCCTTGGCACGGAGGGACAGCAGCTCCTGGGGGGCACAGGGGACCCAGGGGATGGAGGGACAGCCCTGCTCCTTGTGCAGAGGGACTGAACTTGCCAGTGTCCAGCCCTGTGTCCTCACCCTGTCCCCACGGAGTGACACCAGGAATCCTGGGCCCCGGGGAAAGTCCCTTGAACCCCAAATCAGAGGTCGGGTCCCCAGCCCGGCTCCCCCTGGCTGTTGGCCCTGTAAAGCAATAATGACAGTCCTGTGCCTGTGGCACCTCCCACCCCATGGCAACGGCGTTGTCCCTGCTGGTATTTCGGCCCCTGGTGCCGCTTGCTTGTCTGTGGTGTCCCTGTGTGCCCAGGATGTCCCTGCCCCTGCTGCTTCCTGGTAGAGCATCCCTGTGTGTTCTCCAAGGATGTTCCCATCCATGCTGCTTCTCAGTGAAGCACTGCTGTGTGTCCCCATGTTCCCCTGTGATGTCCCCACATTCCCCTGTGATGTCCCCATGTTCCCCTATGATGTCCCCGTGTTCCCCCACAATGTCCCCACATTCCCCTGTGATGTCCCCACATTCCCCTGTGATGTCCCCATGTTTCCCTGTGATGTCCCCCTCGCTGTTGCTGCCCTTGGGAGCACTGTAGCTTGTCTCCCCCAGGCCGTCCCCATCCGTGTTGTGCTCCCACAGAGCACTGTGCTGCGTCCTTATGTCCCCCCCAGGATGTCCCCACCCGTGTTCCCACCCTGCAGGGCACTGTGTTGTGTCCCTGTGTCCCCCCAGGATGTCACCAGCTTTGTTGCTTCCCGACAAAGCCCCGCTGTGTGTCCCCAGGGGGAGCCTGGCCCACACCTCCCGGTGTCCCTGGGGACTGGATCCCAACCCCTTCAGCTCCTGCTCCCTCCTGGCTCTGGGGAAGGACAAAAGGGGCTGGTGAGGCAGAACTGGGAGCAGTGGGATCACTGGGAGCTCGCTGGCAGGGGGGTGTGTCCTGTCCCCGCCAGGGCCACCCAAGGTGGGGTCCCCCAGGTGGGTTCACCCCTGGTGGGGGCTGTGCCTGGCTGAGGCTCGGGGTGGGTCTCCAGGCACGTGCCCCCCATGTCCCTGTGCCAGCCGGGGGTTCCCCGTGGGCAGGGCCCCCCCGGGCAGGGCCCCGCAGGGTATATTAGTGCTTTCCTTTTTTTAATCTCGCTATTTTCTTACAGAAGCCCCTCCTCCCTTGGCATGACGGTCCTAGAGGCGTTTGTTAATGGGTATAAGCAGAGTATAGGTTTATAAATTCTTATAGAGTTAGTGGAAATATTTTTATCCCTCCACAACTGTTCTCAATAAATAACGGCTGACCCGGCTTGTCTGCAACCCAGAGTGGCTTCTGCACCAACACCCCACATCCCTGGGCATCCCACATCCCTGGGCATCCCACATCCCTGGGCATCCCATGTCCTTGGGCATCCCACATCCCTGGGCATCCCACATCCCTGGGCATCCTACATCCCTGGGTATCCCACATTCCCACATCCCTGTATCCCTAGGCACCCCGTGTCCCTGAGCAACCTGTGTTCCTGGTATCCCATGTCCCTGGGCATCCTTTATTCCTGGGCATCCCACATTCCCACATCCCTGGGCATCCTGTGTCCCTGGGCATCCCACATTCTCACATCCCTGGGCATCC